GGGGGGTGGTGGGGGAAGAGGTCCCTGCGTGGCCTTGGTGGCTGGGGGTGGGGGTGGTTTGTGGGGTGTTGGGGGGGGGGGGGGTGGTGTGGTGCCATATCCTCGACGTGGATTGGAACACTGAGGGCTCCGACCGGCAATGGGCTGGGGTGGGCGGTGGGGTGTTGTTGTGAGCCTGGGGTGGGGTTGGGGAAAGATGTGGACAGCGAGGATAAAACACTGGACCCCCTCCCTCCCCTCTCTTCCCCACCTTCCCCCACACCTCCCCCAAACTCGGTTATGACATTTCGCCCTCTGTTTCCCTCGTTGACAGGAGGCCAGGATGGGAGGGAGTGGTTGGACGAGGGCCCAGCGAGGAGAAGCTGCGATCTGTGCTGTGTAATCGAGATCTGTACCTGTGAGTGACTCGACAACGGCCTGGGGAGGGGGATGCAGGGGGAGGGGAATGGTCAGAGGTGTAGGAATTGGCGAAGCATTGGGTTGGGGGGAGGCGCGTGCGCGTGTATGTGTGTTCTCCTCCCCTCCCCCTAACCTTCAACAGTCCCTCCCCCTCTCCCTCTTCCCCCACCCCACCACCTGACGCATAGCCGCAGCAGTGCGTACCGTCTACGAGATGCACCGTAGCGACTCGCCGAGGCTCCCCCTCCGTCCGACCAGCACCTTCCGAACCCGCTGCCTCTAACTCCCACACCCTCCCCCAGCTTCCCTCAGGTCTGACCCTGGTAGGGGAGGCCCCTGATGAGGCACAAGCGATACTGAACAGAGCCTGCAAGTCATCCTCAAAACCACATTCTCCCGGTCATGAAAGCCAAAACCACTTACCTCCTTGAAAGCTTTGCTGAGCTGCTTCCCCAAAGTGACTCGCATTCCTCTCTGAACAGCCTACCCGTCTCCGATTGTGTTCTGAATGGTGCGTGTGTGTGTGAGAGAGAGATAGGGGCGGGGGTGTGAGAGGGGATTCGAGTCTCCCTCTCCCTCTGTCAGCCTGTGTGTGTCCCGCCCCCCCCCCCCCCCAGTTTGATTGCTGACACTTCTCCCCCTCGATCTCTCAGATACGCTGGGCACGGTGCTGGGGTGCGGTTCCTGGAGGGACAGGAGGTTCAGAAGTTGAGTTGCCGGGCGGCATCACTGCTGTTGGGCTGCAGTAGTGCTGCACTCGTCCTCCGTGGGGACCTTGAGGGAGTGGGCATTGTCCTCAAGTACATGATGGCTGGTTGGTGAGTGACACCTGGCACACCCCCCCCCCCCCCCCCCCCCCCCCCCTCGCTCGGCCCCCCCCCTGCCGGGGTGCCCGCGCCCCCCCCTCCCTCTGGCGCTCCTCTGCCTGCGTGTGCCCCCTTCCCTCTGGCGCTCTTCTGCCCGCACGCGCGCCCTGTCCCTTGCCTGCTGTCACCCCTCTGTGTGTCTCTCTTTCCCCACCCCCTACAGCCCGCTGTTCCTGGGGAACCTGTGGGATGTGACAGATAAAGACATTGACCGTTACATGGAGAACCTGCTGCGGGGCTGGTTGGACGCGGGTTCGGAGGCCTCGCTCCTGGAGTACGTCGCACACGCCCGCACGGCCCCCAAGCTCAAGTACCTGATCGGAGCCTCTCCTGTGGTCTACGGCCTCAGCATCTCGCTGCAGTGAGCGTGCTGCCAGTTGTGGTGGCGGGGGGGGAAGTGGGGAGGAGGTGTTTGGGAACTCTGGTGGATACCCATCCCTCTCCCCCCCAACGTCACCAGGGACCGCACCCCGTGAGGGCAGGGCTGGAGCGGGCCTACATCAGTTGTGGGGGAGAGGGGCTGGGATCCCTCTCTATCCCGGGAGAGAGGGGCTGGGAATCTGAGCTGCCCCTGTATAGAGTTGAGGTGGGGTGGATTTTTGGGGACAGGACTGCGGCTCCAAGCAGTTGCCGGGAACTGATTGTACTTTTTTAAAGCCCTTTTGTTTTTAATTTATGGATCTGCCGTTGTGTTTATTTTTTTTTTTGCGCGTGCAGTTTAAATAAACGAGTGTTGTTAATAAAGTCAAAATTTATTTCTCGTGATCGGCGCTCGGTTCTGTTCTGTTCTGTTCCAAGGAGCAGGTCCAGGGCGGCGACTCCCCTGTCAGTCTATCCCTGCCTGCTGCCCCAGTCTGGAGGAGGTGACGGAGATAGGGAGGGGGTGTAGGGGGGATGGAGGAGGAGGTGACGGAGATGGGGATGAGAACAAGAATTCGGGGTTTGCCAGACAAGGCACCAACGTGAGACATGGGAGACTGGCCTTGAGAACTCACTTGATGTTCAATGGCGTGACCATCACTGAATCCCCACCACAATATCAACATCCTCGGGGTTACCCATTGAGCAGAAACTGAACCAGGACCCTAGCCCCGTATCAATCCCGTGGCTACAAGGAGCTGGGAGTCCTGCAGTGAGTAACTCCCGTCCTGAGTCACCACCACCCCCCCTCACCGTTGACAAGGCATAAGTCAGGATTGTGAGGGGGGGAGACCCACCCCCCCCCCCCCCCCCCACTCGCCTGGACGGGGCACGGGGTCCGGCAACGCTCGAAGCTCGACACCGTCCAGGAACAGTGTGTCCCCCACCTTCCACACTCCCCTCCCTCCCCCCCCATCCCCCCCATCCCCCTG